GGAGGCCTATAGGAAAGATGGGGAAAATCTTTTTAGTAGGGCCAGCTGTGACAGGACAAGGGGTAATGGTTTCAAACTAAATCAGGGTAGGTTTAGACTAGATATAAGGAAGAAATTTTTTACAATGAGTGTGGTGAAACAGTGGAACAGGTTGCCTAGAGAGATAGTGGAGGCCCCATCCCTGGAAACATTCAAGGCCAGGTTGGATGGGGCTCTGAGCAACCTGATCTAGTTAGCGGTGTCCCTGCTCACTGCGGGGGGGTTGGGCTAGATGACCTCTAGGGGTCCCTTCCAACCCAAAATATTCTATGATTCTCCAACACCTATTTCTTTCTATACAGCTATCAAAACATTGATTTCATCAACTTCTCCATCTGAGTAATCCCTTAAGGTCCCTCCTTCTCTAGTGTCTACAGGAAATGAATCTTCAATTTTAGATAGAAGGTACTTTCAGAAGAGGTTTGCGTGCAATGTTTTCATGTAAATTGTCAGGCACACACTCAGAGTAGCAGGGGAACCTTGCTGCTACCATTGTTTCCTTTATCCTACCTCTCCTTTCTTGCCCATCTTTTAACTCTATATGAAATTTTTGGACCCTGATTAAAAAAAAAAAAGCTTAAGAGACTGAAATTTAAACTGCATCTAGCTTGCTTTCTTACTGCAAACATCCATTGGGATGCCAGCCAGCAGAGAGAGGTCAAGGAAGTTCTCCCTTCTCCTGTCTGCCATCACCCAGGAGTTTGTTCCATGATGAGCTGCAATATATCAAATACATCAGATACAACAGTGAAGATCCTTTTCCAACAGCCCAGGAAACATTCCTGAGTGTCATGGTTTCCTGAGTGGTAGTGCTTTCCAGTGACCCATTGCAGGGGAGAAATCCTATCAGAATTCTAGTCCAGAATTGAAATAAAGAAACTTTAGGAATGGTTGGAAAAGTGGCTGTGCTCACGCTGCTGGTGTCATGAAGAACAGATGATTTGTTTTCCCTCAAATGATAAACTTGATCTTTTCTTCTGTATTAATTGAATAAAATGTAATTTTCAAGTGGTAGCTCATATGCTCATCTTCTGAAGTCTGGTACTATAATTGATCAGTCTGCTAATATAAATTTATCCGCTGCTTTTCTTTTCAGAAACCTGAAGGACGTCCTACTTTTGCAGAGTTAATAGAGATCCTCACAGCTATAACAGAGATGGGATAATTGGAGATTTTACATGAATGTATTTACTAAACAGCATTAAGCATGTCAATAATATATATGATACAGAAAACCTCAGCCTTTTACAGGAGCTTCCACTTAAACTGCAGTACCAGCATCCTACATATTGAAGCAGCTGTTGAGGCTTGGCCTAATTTTTGCTCATTTGAGAAAGATACCTCAGGAGACTGGTTCAGGACTCTCAAGGCTTTGTTTTCATCATTAGGGAGAAAAATCTGTCTGGAAAGAAGTAACCAAGCTTACTCACCTTATAGGCCTTTTTATTTATTCTTTTTCTCAAAGCTACACTAATTCCTGTAACAATATTATTAAGTTATTTGGTACTTAATATGACTCACGAGCTGGGGAATACTGATTGGCAGCAGCAAGAATGATGGAAGACCCCCTGATAAAGCTCTAGCTAGGTCATGGTTAAAGGAAAGCCCTTTTTGCTGCAAAGCCTTCAGCACCAAAGAAAGGGAGCGGTGTTTCAGAAGGGGCAGCAAGCTAAATACCAACCGCCGGAGCAGCGCCCACGCTTGTGCCTGTACCCACTGCTGTGGCTCAAGGCAAGCAAAGGGGGCAAAGGGAGCACTCGTCGCTCAGCAGCTCCCAAGTCACATCTGAGCAGCTGGAAAGCCTGAGCATCCCTGGACCATTTTAAACGTGCATCGCAGGTCAAGGGGCCTTCTCTATCAATTCTGCATAAAAGAAGGACAGTAAGGATTATCTTAACCAAACCTCCCCCTGAATTTTCCAGCATCGTCTCCCACTCCTCGCCTGCTGCTGCCTACTCAAACGCCCATGCTTGCCTTAGTCCTTCCCTTGCAAGTGCCCAGAAAGGTTAATGGACGAGTTAAAGCTGGATCCTGACAGTAAAACAAAGTGCTTTGACTTAGTCTAGCTCAGATGGATCCTGCGATATCTGACATGGACAATGTCTGGAACCCTACTTGTTACGTTATTATCCGGTTTTCATTTTAAAACTTAATTTTGGCCAATACAAATATATTATAGATAAGAAAAAGCAGATGAAGTGAATAATTGTTTAATATAGAATAGAGTCAGACCATTACAAATAAATAGTTTTTTAAAAATATGTGATTGCACTGTGAATTATTTGCAGGTAAATCCACCATAATATTTCATTTTATAGCCCTTTTTAGACAAAATACTTAAAATCCACTAGCTGAAGAATGATTGAGTTCTGCACAACTTCATTTTTCCTTTCCAAATTCAAAAAATAACTGCAACCATAAAATGAAATATATCAATCATCCCAAGTTTTGAATTTCCAGAAGATTATGGCATCTTTGGGTCACATCCATTCCTTGCATTAATTACTCACCTTTACTGCAATAGTATTTTGATAGTTATCATCCCTTGGGGAGAGAAGTTCTTAATCCTGTTGTTTGAACATTTGGGAGTACCTTCAAATACACTTTCAAGGCATTTCCACTTCAAGTGAAGCATGATATCCCTATCGTTTCATATAAACTGCTAGAAGAATTGCCGCCAACTGATGTCACTATTTACTTTTGTGATTGACTCATTTATGAGCATTCAGCTCCTTATCAGACCTATGACTAAATACAGTTCTATACAGCACAGTACCACACACTGAGCTCACCACCGCGTTACGCCCAGGCCACCGAAGTACAAGGCTTTTCAGCAGCTGATGTGCTCTACAAATGCAAAATTCAACTGTCCCTGCAATAGTACATGGGGACTTTGAATAATGTATGAGGCATCTTTTTTAATAGCTCTGGTAAAACTGGTTTTGCCACGTTTATTACTGCAAGTTAATATGTAATAGCCTACAGTACCATGCAATAAAAAGCTCCGGTAGGTTTATGTACTCAAAGCATCCTGCTCATGCTTGTTTCCCTGAGTTGTCCCATGGTGAATATGCATCCATCCTTGAAACACATTGGTCTAATACACAGAGCCAATAATGCTCGCCTACCAAGCCTTCAACTTCTCAATATAATTTTTCTGTAGGCTGCTTTGGGAAAATTATGAGTAGGCTGTTCTTAACACTCTGACGCAGAGAAAATTAACAGCTGCTATCATCAGGCTGACAGTAAACAAATAAAAAAGCACTAGAACATGCTTCAGAGTCAGTGAAACCGGGGCTTAATCAGCAACAAGAAAGGTCTACAGCACAAAGGTCAGGTATTTACAGTGTATTTACTTACCAGAACAGCTACACCCATAAATAAAGACTAAGTAGGCCACCTTAGTCCTCATGGTCTCTCTGAGCCTAGCTCAAACTCTAACCATATTCAAATGGCAAAATGAAAGTACTTATACAGGTGACCAGTGAATGCCACCCATGACACTGAACACAGGGGCGTATGTGGGCAAACGGATGTCTGTTAGCTGTTTTTTTTTTTTAAAACCTTTGTGCGATAAAAGAGAGACCTGGAAAAGCAGTAAAGGTTAGAAGGAGACCCTATACCACCCTCACAGAGTGAATGTCTAGTCAAAGGCTGTATGAGTGCTCAGCATTTGTAAAAATTCGGTTGATGTTTCCTGATCAAACATCAGAAAACTTGCAGCAAGACAGTATTATGGAGAAAAAAGGCAGATTTCCCAGTCTCTATGCGCCAGCTGCTTAGGATATATCTCTTTTCTATTAAAAATCTGCACTGTTGACAAACCGGAATGTATTTTCAGAAAATTATATTACGTCCCTCAGCAAAAGTATTCCTGACGAGCAATGGAGAAAAATTACTTATGTGTATGAGTCTGGTGATGTTTATCTCCAATGCCATTTGCTGTTCAGACCAACTTTAGCCCCTCTATAAAGTTTCAGAGGCAGGGAGGCCCGAACGCACCTCACCAAGCACCATTCCTCCCTCGTGCTCCACCAGCCTGGCTCCCGCTCAGCCTCCCCCTCTTGGTCCAAACCTCGGCGCCACTTTAAAACCTGCCATAAAGGAGTCAGCTATGGGAAACCCGCTCTGCTAAAGAGTATCCTCTAAGACATTTGCCACTTTTGTTTTGCTGGAATTTAAACAGTAAGAGAACGGTGTTTGCTAGGAGTATATAATTCCCCATATGGTTCCAGGATGGAACTGTGATGAGTAAAGAGGTTGAAGTTTTGAACTGGTGCTCTTTGGGATGAAAATTTTTTATAGCATGCCTTTTTTAAGCGTGGCTGGGAATGCAGGTAAAGGAAGATGGTAGAACAGGTTTCTATAGAAAATAATAACCTATGTACTTCCTTCCAAATGCCCTGCAGATTATTTAACCTATCCAAGTCTCCTTGGCCTAACTACATTTCATCAACACAGCTATGTAATGAATTTAATTGCCCATTAATTTGTCCTGAGGTATGGTAGTAATGAGTAGCTGCCAAGATTTGTTTTGTATCAGCATTTAAAAGCCATAATTTGGTTAGCAATGTATTGTCTCTGAGGTTTTCTTTGTTCTAGTTCTTAACCATTCCCCCTGCTTTCCGAATCACTTCAAATTACTTTAGATAATATCCTTCATTCCACTGCCTGGAAAACCTGATAATGCACTGAAATACTCTCCACTGAGACTGGCCATGAGAAAGAGATCGCTACTACACCAGCTTTGGGTTTTTCTTCCCTGGCTTAGAAGGGAAGCCATTTTCACATTTCCCTTAAAATCCATGTATTTTGACTACTAATCATCAGCATTAAATGTTCCTCTCTGGTGCTTTCTACAGAACACCAAGGTAAAAATAACACATCTGGGCAAATTGGGTAATTCTGTAAAAGAAGCTAAAACCTCTCGATCTCCCCATACTCTTCCCTCCAGTTCCACCATAACATTGTAGACTTTTTAGCTCAAGGGGAATAGATAGTAGTTTCACACATTGCTTTTCTAGGGGAGAAAATTTTCTAGGGGTAGAAAATTTTCTTTCCTATCAGAAAAAACAGTAAAAGTCAAAGGTACTAAAAGAAAGTCATGATCAGGTCAGATGCACATGAACTGCAAGGACATTAGCCAGACCTTCTTCATCTAGAAACCATGTGTGCACAGGACCAGCTGCTAAAACCAAGATTATTTGCTTTGGATCTATCAGATAGTGCTTAAATGCTTATCAGAAATATGAATTGCACTCCTTTTTATCCCGTGTTTAAAAAACACAGATAATTTAGTACATAATCCATGAATAATTTATTGCAAGAGTATAATTTCACTAAAATTTAAAATTATTCCAAATTAATAACTAAACATTTTAAAAAATAACATTTCTTATAGCAAATGTTTTTTATACCAAAAGATAATCAGTAACTTACTTCTTAACATGATAGGCTTCCTGTATACCATGAAAATAAGCATTAACTTTGGTTTTCTGACATTGTAAGAAAATAACATTATTTTCCTAGTAGATGTTATTTATGTATAAAAGCAGATATGCAGGTCCAATAGAAAATACAGAATTTTTGCTTGGTACAAGTTAACTGACTGCGAGGAGTTAGTATAAAAAGAGCCTAGTCTTCGTATAAAAGAATCCAAACCCTTCTCAAAGGCAGTGTTACTACATATCTTAAAAAAATGCCAACACACATCCATTCAAGAATTTGGATGGTTGCTTTTTCATAGAAGTAACCCATTTGGTCACACCATAGTGACGACTGTATAAGAAAATAGAGGGGCCACCAGCTATGCAAAAGGATCTCTCTCTTTTTAGGGTCAAATCAATATTTTCTTCAGTTATTCTTCAAATCGTATGAGTAATTCATAGTGAAAAGCAACGCAAGTTTTCCTTAAAAGGTAAACTGTAAAGAAAACTCCATCTTTAGTCTTCTTATTTGTATTATCTGGTTTTAACTATAAAGATTTTGTAGCTTGAACCTGGCCAATGACTCAAAGTATTCTCTACATTACCTAAGATGCAATGAAACTCTGTTTATGTATTTTCTTCTCTGAAGCTTTTTTAACACATGCATTTTAAAAGCAAAGAATTGCTGCAAGTCTCATCACTTGGAAAGCTGAAAAATATTCCAAAGCTGTACATATTATCATTCTATTCTCAAGGCAAGTACATTTTTTGTGAAAATGTGCCTTTTGCTCAGGTAACATTGCTGCCACCTCCTGCACTATGCAATGTACTTCTCAAATCAGGTAATGTCAGGTGATAACCTGAATACCCATTGCCTAATGACGTCTTCTCCTTATATCGGCAAGATTACCTGCAATCTTTTATAAAGTACTATGAGCAGGACAACTGGACACATAGTATCACATTTTTCAGATATGCCCTTCATTGTAAAAATGAGGATTTAGGTGCGGGTGACTGATACAATTTCTACCTCTGCCTGTACGTGTGTCAACTACAAACCTAGCCAAGTGGGAAAAAAAGGTGCTTGTAATTTAGAAATAACTTTAAGCTAGTATCCCTAGTGTTACTTTCTAGTTTTTGATAGCTTCTAAAGCATGATTAAAAATCATTCACAAGTGAGATGCTTCATGAACTTTCAAAAAGGAAGTACTTAAACTTTGCACAACACAAACATGTATGAAATATCAGTAGCAACAGTTCTGTTCTTAGAGCTAAGTTATGAGCTTCCTTTCGTGGAACAATTTGCTATCCATTCAAAGCGTCCACTTTTAGTACACTCCTTGCACATTAGAGAATGTACAGCCTGCTTCATGAGGGGGTTCTGCTTGGCATATAAATCTCAGCTGATTAAAATAAATTTTTAATTGCTGAAATGCTAGCATCCTCTGGCAAAGTTTCTGGATTCACACTTAAAAACCCAAGAACTGGAAATACTACATTTCTGATCATGACCCACACATCTGATGATTGCAAGCTACTTTTCTCACAAAGTGGCAACAAAGGGGATTGTGATGAGTAAACCATGGACTGTGCAAGCTGGTTTTGTGAGATAAAGATCAGTGACCACAACTGAGGAGCATACTGTGGTACAGATACTAATCTTCAAGGCCTATGGTAG